ACTATACAATACAGGACACAAAATTTATAGGTTTATTTTTAATAGTCACCCAAAGAGAGAAATAAAAGAGTGCAAGAAATCTGTCCACACACTAAAGACCCAAAAACTCCAGCTGAGGGCCTGGATCCCAAGACAATGTTCTGCATGAGTCCAGCTGAAGACCTTGAGCCCATGGCAATGACCCCTACAAATCCAACTGGTAGCCAAAAGCCCACGATAATGGCTCAGACAAATCTATACCAAGGATCTGCACTGGGAAGGCCCAACAGTCAGTGGTGGAAGCTAGAAAGCCTGCACCAGCTGGATGAAGGATCTGTGCCAGCAGGCTGAGAATCTGTACTGGAGCCAGGAAGCAATGCTCAAAGTAAGGACCAGAGCTCCCCCAAAATGAACTGCAGCCATCCTCTGTGACAATGAGATCCCAAGCCCCTCTGGTGATGAGAACAGCTGAGTTCATATAGGGAAAGCCAGCAGACACGCTCCTCCAGGAGAACCAAGAGCACCACCTCTTCCTGTCCAGTTTTCCTTTTTATGTTGTTGGTACAACCCTCAGGTGGGCCCTCCATACCCAGCACCACACTGATCTAGTTCAGCTAGGTGTTAAAAGTTGATCCCCAGTTGTCAATCCACACCTATAGAAAGAGAGAGTTCTGAGCTCTTCAGACTTCCGGCTTGTGCTTCTCTTCTATCTGGATAACATAGTCTCATCAGGAGGCATACTGGGAAACCTGTTGGCCTGTGACAGATGTCACTGGAAGTGAATATCCCATGGCAATGGCAGTTGGAGGCTCAGCCAGCCAAGGTGCCCATGTCAAGTTGCCAAGTGAAGGTATGGACAGTGTCACAGCCTTGCAACTCTGAGGCTGGAGCTCATAGAAGTGTTTACAGACGAAAAACATCCAAGAATCTCCAGGACTAACTTACATGGCCCATCTACCACTGGCAGAGGGTGGCAGCTTCTAGGTCTCTGATTCCAAAGTTCAGGATAAGTGAATATCACTATGGACTTCTATAAAGGCAAACACAATTCCACACATTTACACCGGGGCCTAGATTTTATTTTCTTTGCTTTTGTTTTATTTTTTAATGAACTCAGATGAATCTGGTGGCCATGGTCAAGGAATCTCAGCTTACTGGGCACTGGAGGAAAGCATTCTTTTGGCTTGTGGTTCAGAGGTTTCAGTCCATGGTTAATTGCATTACTTTTGAGTTCTGTGGAGAACTAGAATCATTGTGATGGGGCCAGCATGGTATATCAAAGATGCTCACCTCATGGAGGCTAGGAAGCAGGAAGAGAGAAACAAGAAGGGTCTGGGGGTCTCAATATCTCCTTCAGGGTACACCCCAAGTGGCCCAACTGCTTTCCACTAGGTCCCACCTCCTAAAGGTTCCTCCACCTTCTGATAATACTATAGAATGGGGACCAAGCCTTTGAGTAATGGTCATGGCCCAATCTATAGCAACAACTTCAGTTCCAGGAAAAGGCAAAGACCAGGATCAGTCTGGATGGGCCACCAGGTGGTGATCTGGGGCCAGAAAGAGGAGTCAGTCCAGGTCAGTAGTAATAGAGCTCACTCAGTAGGAGAGGAGAGCAGGGTCTACTCAAAATTCTGCTGCTGGCTCCCATTTCTGGAATTTTTCCATTGTATCATATGCTATCACTGGCAGCTGACTATTCATTTATTGTGCACTTACCATGTGGTTTTCTCCACACTACTCTGGGTTACAGAAGTGATCACAAACCTGAACTCTTACCATGGGCTTTGGGAGGCAGACACCAGAGCCTGTATCTATATAATGTATTGTGTTCGTGAAAAACTAGAAAGCATATATTAATTAAGCAGGACCAACATCTGTGTATAATGAATAAATGTTAGGGGTGGAATAAAATGAGTTTATTTCTTGCTCCCACCACAATCCAGCATGGACAGGTTAAAGGAGATCTGTTTCCAAACATCCATTTTCCCCAGTGGTTTCCATTATCCCAGAGGGACCTGAGGTCCTCTGTGTGTGACCAGGCACTGACTGAGTCAAACCAGAACCATGCAGGGGCCAGTGGGCCAGCAGGCATGGGGCTCACCACACCGGCCAGGTCCCAGCAGCCTCAATGCGTGCCACCCCAACACAGTGCAGGGGAAGCTGGGAAGTGTCTGTTGCCAAGCACCCACATAGCAGGAGGCAGGGTCTGGTGATCACAGAGGATGTAGCATCCCACTGCAAGACCAGGTGCTTGAGGTGTAATGAACAGGATGGAAAGGTGCTCTTTTATTTATAGCTGAGGTTGGGGTCAAGGAAAACACACTGGGGGATGACATTCTGGGTGTGATCTGAGGGTCAGAATGGATCCAGGCAGAGCTCAGGAAAAGTCATTCTGGAAAAAGCGGCAGCATGCACTAAGTCTTTGAGGCAGAGTACATGGTGTGCTGCAGAGACTCAAAAAGAGCCAGAATGCAGAGGGGAGAAAGTGTTAAATAAATGGTTCTGGATATTGTTACAAAGAAAGACTGGCTATTCAGGACCATTGAGACAGGTGCAGGGACTGCTTTAACAAGTGTCTGCACTAGAGCAGGGAGATTGAGCTCAGCTCTGAATACAAGGAGGAAAGCTGGGACTGGGTAGCAAAGGTACAGTGCTGGAGTCAGAGGGTGGAAAGTTACTAAGGGGAACCATGGGGGACAAAGGGCGATTCTGGTGAAAGTAGATGTCACCTGGAGGAGGGTGGAGGGTGATGGTCCCAGCTAGACAGGGATGTGGAGGTGGAAGATTCTGGATAAACTTTTTACTAGGATTCTTGCCAAAAAGAGCCAATGCAGAGGAAAACACGGAGGCCCAAGAGGCAGGGCCTGGTTGAAACAGAGTTCAGAGGAGCCCGTGTGGGGTTTGACTCGGGACAGAGTCTTTGTCAAAAGAAACTGGGAGGGGCAAAGCGGGCACCAAGGCCAGAGCAGGTGGCATTGGGCTCTGGGGTCCACGCTGAGGGTCTGGACCAGATGTGGTGGGCAGTGGGTGACATGAACAGATGGACAGTGTTAGAACTCTGCCTAAAATCGTAGGCACTATCACCACAGGCCCCACTGTTCCCTTAGGATAACACAGATAGGTCGTCTAGGAAATAAAGAGATAAAAGACAAATCCTTCTCCAATAAAAGACAGTGTGTACACAGCAAAGAAGCCATCAGATGCTGCCTATGTCTAAGGGTCATGGTGAGTGAACAGGAAATGAGGGCTTTACACATTTGGTGACATTAACATGGCCTGGAACAGTCCAGAAATGGAGCCCCAGGAAGCAGGAACCTCAGACCTCGACGGACACTGAGCATTGCGCTTTGGGAGCAAAGGGGAGGTAGGAAGAGCGACAAATCCAGCGGGGACTGACACGAGGAGATGAGGAAGGATGGAAAGGCATTACGAGATCCAGGAGAGGAACGGGGCCCTCCCTCCAGGAGAGGAGAGACCACCACAGTGCCCTGGGGTGATGTGAGTCAATAGTCCCACTCAAGGAAGCCAGCTTCCCTCAGTGATACTGCATTGAGCCCTGAGTTAGACAGGGAGCTGCTTCCTGCATGAGAGAGGCCAGAGAGAAGCCCCGGTGACTCTCTGCTGCTTTGCTCCTTTGGGACAGCTGGGCCGCAAAGCATGGGGTGATTCATTGAACTCAGTTCAGGACAAAGTATGAGTCCAGCCCCTCAAAGGCTGGAAAACTCATGTTTCCTCTGCCAGGGAGCTCAGTGGTGCTGGGTAAGGAAGCTGCTATTTGTGCCCCACAGTAGTGTAGCTAACTGGTCCTATCACTAAGACATGGTCGGAGGGAGGCAGGTGCAGAGAGATTGGGCCCCTCTCAGCTCATTATTTCAAAGTAGTCCACTTGGGCTATGTAACACGTCCCCATGCACTAGTCCTAGGCAAATGCCAGAGAAGTGTGTTTGCAGTGAGCCTCATTCTCATTAATGACCCCTAGAAGGACACGGGGATGCTGACACAATTCACTCCCCTATTCCAGAGCTGGTCAGGGAATTTGGGGTGAAAGAACAGATGTTCTAATAAAGTAGAGCAAGATGTAGAAGAGGACCATGCAGTGGTCCTCAACAATGCCTAGGCAAAGTCCAGAAATCCATCCTGAAGTTCTTAGCATCCAAAGAAGGAAAGGATCACTTTCTACAGAAATGTCTTACATGTGTGCTAATAAAGAAAAGGTGATGAGAACATTTGCTCCATGTCATGATCCTCACTGCAGACTAATAGCACAATGCAAAAAATGCACTGCACTAAATGCATTGTACACAATGCATTGTACTAAAAGTACAATGCAAAAAAAAAAAATTAGGTCTATAAGGAAACAAAAAGGGATGCAGCCACTCGAGAGGTTCTGTGGTGGCTTGGATAACCTGAAACAAAATTTAAAACTGAATACTGAGAGGGCTGCATGATCTCAGGAGGGCTTTCATGAAATGAGTTCAAATGAGGGAGTGCAGAGTTGAGAAGCTGAAACTGTAGCTGGACAATGTTCACTCAATAAACACCCGTGAAAACAAACATCTCAGCTTCTCAACACTGGGCGCTGGGCCTGGACCCGGGATTTGCATGAATGAATAGGCAGGAAGACTGTTCTCCTAGTACTTACACGAGATGCATGACAGAGCTTTGTGGGGGCAACATGAACGAGGCGTGACTTTGGGAGCGCAGCTGGAGGGTGCTCCCCAGCCCCACGCCGCTCTCTCAGGGAGAATTTACCGCTGTGGGAGCGCCAGCCTGCTTGTCTCCATCGTCACCATTTTGGTGAAGTTTGATTTTCTTTCCTCCTTTTCCTGTCTGTAGTTTTGCAAAGCAAGAAGTGGGATGGGCCATAGGGAAATGTGCGCTTCAGTTCTGAAAGATTACAGTCAAGGAAGTTAATTGAAAGGAATACAAGGTTTCTGGGGAGGAACTGAGACCCTCTCTTCTTCCACGTTGAGCTGCCGGCACGGGGACCACAGTAACATTTGGTGTGTTCCCTTTGGCAGGCCACTACCAGACCATCGAGGCGCCTCTTCCTGACCACGTGAGTCCTCCCTTCCCTTAGCTGTTCTGTCAGTCTTCAACACTTAAAAAATAAGGGACTATTTTCAAGTCTTCTGATGAATTGTTTAAAAAATGTCCCAAATGGCATACTTCACTGGCAAGGAAAACTGCATTTTAATTCTGGAGTAAAACACTGCATTCCAATTCCCAATGCACAAGGTCAATGTGAGGGATGAAAAGGTAAAAAGAGTAACACCCAGAGCTAGCAAGGGCATTATAAGAAGGAACTTCATAACGCTCAGGTGGAATTTTACTTTAATGCAAACTTGCTGGAAGACAATTTCACAATATTAACTGAGCAATATAAAAATAACTACTTTTTGGCCCAGTAATTGCATGGTCAGAAATTTAAAATAAGGAACTAATCTAAATTTCAGAATAATATTTCAACATATACATTGATATTTTGTAATAATAATACAGTACCACATTGGAATCATGCCAAATATTCAGTGTAGAATATATCATTGTCTTGGTTACTTTTCTCTCGCTGCCAAGACAAAATACCTTACACCCAGAATTAAGGAAGGAAAGGCTTATTTAGCTCACAGTTTGTGGAGGTTTCAGTCCATACTCGGCTGGCTCCAAGGCAGAGTGGCACATGGAAGAGGGCAACAGTTCATGACAGCAGAAGACTGCAAAAGCAGCAAGAACAAAAAGGGAGGAGCAGCAGAGAGCAAGCCTCTTTCTCCCCCTTATAGCGTATGCAAGCTGCCCGCCCCCAGGATTATGGGTGTAGCGCTCACACCCATAATCCCAGCATTAGACCATGGATTAATCACACACTCTAGAAGCCCACCTCATGACTGCATGAGGCTTTGGTGGAACATCTAGACACAAACCATAAAAACCACTTTATAAAGTCACTTGAAATATTCACAAAGAATTTTAAGAAGTAATGAAAAAGATTAAAATTTCTGACCTTAATTCAAATACCTAATATTATAAGTAATTATATTGTTATATATGTATATAATTTAAGTAACTTATTTACAGATGATAGGTTGGCAGATAGATGATAGATAGATAGACAGACAGATAATGTGTCTATAAAGTCATGGGTTTATTACTATCAGGTAGCTCTTTAAAAATCTAATTAAAGCCCTGAACCCTCACACAGGACCACACACATATGCAATGTTTTTTAAGTAGGAGGTTTATAGTAGTGAATGTTGAACCTGTAGTAAAGAATCCCTGAGGCTGCCAGAAAATAGAGAATAATTAATAGATAGTTAGATAGACAGAAAGATAGATGACAAGTAGATAGATAGATGATTGATAGATGTAAGTCATTATATTTTTTAATATCTCTCCCCCCTCCAATAAAATAGAACAAAATATTTACATTCACATCTGAGAAGCAGAAGCCTCAAAAGCCTGGTGCATCTTCTTATCACCCGGGGTGACCAGTGTGGTCTTTTCTCCCCTTCCATCACCGCCACCCCCACAAAGCCCAGCCACAGGACGGATGACAACTGCATGCAGGCTCACATCCTCAGTTCTCGCGTGTCCCTGACTTTCTGGATGAGTCTGTTCCCTGGGGAGCACTGGCAGGTGCCATAATAGTACACGAATGGTTCCCTGTGGCGAATGCCCCCTGCCCGTGCTGTAGCTCAGACTCACTTCCAGTTCTGTCCCTCCTCCCACTATGCTGGTCATGAAGCCTCCTGGACTCCTCCAGCAGCTTTGCTAAGCCCTAGTCTTAGTGCATCATCTACATAGCTCAGTGCAACAGAGAGAGCAACCATCTACGCACGCTGAGCTCGAGCTGTGGACTTGGGGCAGATGCCAACTACAGCCCTTATCTGTGCTTCATCAGTGGGTTTCAGACAATGACCAAATTTAGTAGGCTCCGTCATCTCCAACTGAAAGCCTGAACAATGGAGTCAGGGAGGTTTATGGCCTCCCCATGGTCAGAAATTTAATCAAACCACAATTTAGATCAAGGGCGGAGTGACTCCAAAGCTCTGCTGTCACCAAGCCAGCTTCACCTGGTTTCAAAGCCAAGAACTGCCCAGTCCCAGCCTTACTTATCTCCTCAGACCACTCCGGGGGTTTCATGGAAGCAGCACTACTCTCTGGGGACACAGCATCAAAATCACCGTGCCGATGTTTCTACTCCAGCTCTGTGCCTGGTGACTTAGCCTTTTCTCCTTTCAGTGGCCAAGCTTTTCTCTTCTACCCGCTTCCTGCTCATGGGTCACTGCATGGCCCCTGGCGTGTGAGCACCTTGTATCTGTCAAACTTGCTCTTGGTGACTTACCCGTGGGTGACTTCATGTACAACCCCAGGCTTCCCTTCCAGGGGAGCACTTGGTGGGAATCCAGGGTGAGCACATGGAAAGCCAAAGCTGCTGTCTTCAGGTTCCTCATCCCTCTCTTTATGCTGTTCCATGGACAGAAGAAGCTTACTCAGCTACAGGTCCAATATGCACAACGCTTCCACCCCCTTGCATCTGAGGATTCCAGTTCTCCCAGCCTGTGTGACCACCTTGGCCCTTCTGCATTGCTGCCTACCTAAAAATTGGAGTCACCCCTAACTCCTCTTTACCTTACCACACTGCTGCAACTGGGGGTGACAGGAAAAAGCTACACACATACACTCTGAGCCTGGGGCAGGGAAGTACGGGGCCCAACTAAATTAGAAAACTGGAGGGGGCAGAGCTAGAACACAACTCTATCGGCAGGTCTCTCTCTCCACTGTGATAAAATTGCCGCTTAGATTTTCCTGCTTACACAGTGGAGTAAAGTATGTGCAGCCCTAACCCCTGTTAAGTCCTGGACAAATGTTAGAGGCTGGAGGAGGCTGCTGCCTCCCGTGATCTCTGACTTGCCCCACCAGTACTGCTCAGGGCAGCAGCAGGCCAGGCGACCTCTACTGAGGACCCCCACCAGGCACTGTGCTCCAAACTGCACATGCCTTGTCTCATTGAAGACACTTCTGGGTACCAAAGTCATTCCATAAGCGTGTGCAACTGCTGACTTGTGTGCGTATGGCCGTCTAATTCAAAAATAAGCTTGAGGTGGACCCCAAGGAAGACACCCTTCTAAGCAGACAAATTACAACATGAATAAAAATTTTAAAGCATACACATAGGAATTATTATACCCTAAAACTTGTTAAGATCTACTACTTTATGCACTTTTATGAAGCATGTATTAAGAATTTACTATGTGCTGAAAGAGAAAAGTCCAAATATAGCTCAGGGTAGAAAGTAACGCCTTTGATTTTACATTGTCAGCTCTTAACTGTCAAAATTAACATAAAATGAGAGTTCAAAGCGCAGTTTGAGGGCTGCCCACACCCATCTAGCATGGCTGCAAGTGGGATGGGAGAAAAGCAATAATCTGCAGAATGGGGGGACCCAAGCCCAGCCTGGGACTCTTCATCACAGCACTACCTGGACGTGATCCACCTGTGATTGCCCTGGGTTCTTTGCCCTTCATTTTTGGGGTCAAAATAGTTTTAAATTTCTGATGCTGGGTTCCCCTTTGCATTTGGTGAAAAGACCTATTTTTGCTCACTCACGGTACCTGGGATCTGCGTGGCTCGGAAAGTCACCAATAACAGTTTCTAAATTTGTAAGAGGGCAAAGCGCCTGCCTGGCAAGTGCAAGGTCGTGAGTTCAGTTCCCGGTACCGGAGAAAAAGCAAAAAAAATAAAAATAAAAAAAATAAATTTGTAAGAGGAAGGTAACGGTTCCCCATGGAAAGACCCAAGTTATGGAATGTCCACAAAAAGCGAGGCCTCTAGCTCATTTTCATTCTTGGTGCCATGTGACACCCCTTAGAGCTTTCCCAGCTTCCATGTTTATGGACACAATCCCACCTTGGCACTTGGATTTCTCTGTCAAGCTCAAATCAAGACTAAAAGTCAAGAGAAAGTTGAGCTTTCTGAGTCCTGGAGAGAATAAAAGATCTCTTGTGGCTTTGTAGGCTGGCTGAAGGAAGGCAAGACTGAGGGTTGTGTCTCTGCCTACATGGAGCAAGATGCTAGCCGCAGGCCCCCACGCACAGTTCCACATACCAGAATTTCTCTGATGACAGTTATGGGAAGGAGGTTTTCTGTGGACTGCCACCCAGGGTTCAGCCCCAGAGCCTTTGAGGAGTACCCATGTCAGTCAGGTGGCACTGCCGTAACAAAATGGCAGGTTGGCTGACAGATTTATTTTCTCACACTCCTGAAAACAGAAATCCCAAGTCAAGGGTTAGTGAGGACCCTCCATTCGGGTTGCAGATGGCTTCCTTCTTGTCTGCACCCATGTTCATTTTAGCGCATGAGTTGGGTAGGAGAGAGAAAGGTCATTCTCATAGGTTCTTTGAATTAGCTTGTCTACCTCTGCAAAAGAAGAAGGGAGGAAGAAGAGGGAAAAAGCACTTGGGATTTTGGTGGATTGTGTGGAATCTGTGCCTTGGTTTGTAAAGCACGCCTATCTTAACATCGTATCCTCAACCCATAAACATTGAGTATCTTTCCGCTTATTGAGGTCTTCATAAATTACTTTCAACAATGTGTTTGCAGCTTCTAGTGTGCAAGTTCCACACATCTTTTGCTAAATTTATTCTTAAGTGCTTTATTTTTTGAAGCTACCCTAATGTCCCTATTTTCTAAATTTTTATTTCCAAATTAGTACTGTTTATAGAAATACAAATTATTATTACCAGTATGTCCACATGACTTTTGTGTAAGAATTGGTCATATATTCCCATCCCTTGCTGAATCTTTTCTTAGTTCTAGGTTTTAATAACTTTTTAGTGGATTCTTGGGAATTTCCTATACAGGAGATCACCTCATCAGCAAATAGGTCCCCTCTCTGCTTTTAAGTGTTTGTGTAACCATAATGGCCTCACCTGAATAATACAAGACTATCCCTTTATTTCAAAGTCAGCTGATTAACAACCTTAATTACATCCTCACTGACCCTCACAGTAGAAACTAAGGAGGTATTTGGTTGAATAATCAGAGAGGGAAAAATTCTGGGGGGCATCTTTAGAATTCTCACTATCACAAGAATTCAACTTCTAATTAAGACCCGAGACTCTTAAGTCTTTAAATTTCAGTCAAAGCATCCGTATCAGCCCCCAGCCAACACTGTGGCCTGCAGCCCTGTCCCTTCCCAGACTCACCAAGATATACCCACCTGCTTAGGAAAGGAACATGACTGCAGTCCCGGACGGAGTAAAATTGCCCCCTGATGACGACTATGAAGACCCCGAGCTTCAGATGGTAGACACGTGGCCGTCAATGAAAATTTTACCAGCCAGGCCTATAAAGGAATCTGAATATGCAGGTAAAGGGCAGGGCCATGCGTAACGTCTGCGGGTGCACATCCATGCTGCAATGGCGCCTAGTGATTAAAGATACAGATTCTGAATTAAACAACCCTAGGTTGAAATCCTGCCTCCATGCCTTAGTACCTTGGTGGCTTGGGCATGTCTCTGGAACTCACGATCTCCACCTGAAAATAGCATTTATAGTAATAGGCCTCCCCTAGAGAGCTCTTGTAGAGATGACCTGAATCATACATGGGGGCCTCTTTACCAGAGGCCCTGGTGCACAGCCAGCACTCCGGACCTGTAGCTGTCATTATCACAGAGATGCTCTTGGGTCATAGGCAACTTGCCACACCTGGGAGCATGGCAGAGTGTGGGCAACCAGGAGAAGGCCAAGTGGCAAATGCTAAGCTGGAGTCTGAATGGTGGAGGAGTAGGGGGAGCTCTCAGCATCCTGCAGATCAGACTTGCTAGGAGTAGGGGAAGACCAAGCTCTACACTCACTTTTGTGCTTTTCTTCTTGGAGTACATGGGGCAACTTCAGCAAGTCTCTGAACCTCAGACATGACACATCACTCTTAAAGTAAAGAGGAAGTGAAGCATAACTTCTGAGGGCTGGGCCCACGGAAATGCTTGCATAGAAACATCTCTGGAGAGAATCATCTTGGAAATGAAGAGATGATCTTTTGTTCATTGGCTCCAAAAGCATCTAGACTGTGCCAGTTACCAGTTTAGAGCTGATCAGGGAATGTAAGGACGAGCAAAGATGACCCATAGTGCCAGGAAGTTCTCCAGCTAGCGGCAGAAACAGATCAACAGGGAAATGTGGCGGAACAGGTCAAGGGCACCATACAAAGAGCCGGGAGCCGGGTGGGATGTAGGAGGGCAGGGTCTGGGAAGATGTCTTCGGGATGTTTGGCAGGTCCCTGGAAGGCTGGTAGAGATCTCGGGTGGATGAGAACATGCAGCGGGGATCATATCCAGGTTGCAAATGTATTGCTGACTCCACAGAGGTGTGACTTCAATCTTCTTCCCTTGGCACAGATACTCGCTGTTTCAGGGGTGCACTGGATGCCTCCTCTCTGCGGAATGCCAAGCCCTCAGCGCCCCCAACAGGTGGAACCCGGAACTTGCAACTGCAGCGGCAGGAAGTGAGTGCAACTGGGCCCTGTGACCCAACCCGGGGATTCCCCAGGGCATCTGGCTAGGTTGCATGAAGGTGAAGTTCGGGGAACCTGAGCCACAGGATGCTAGGGTGATCCTGGTCCTATGGAAGGGCCTGGGAGGAAGGAGACTTGACATCTGGGTTCAATGTACTGTGAGCCAGGCACCTGGCAAAGGACTTTCACATGCATGTCGTCTAATGCTGAGTGCCTCCCTCAGAGCTAGGCCTTGAACTCACACATTTGCGATAATATTGTATCACTGTGCCCCGATCCTCAGCCCAATATTGCCAACTACTAACTGGGTGGTTATAAGTATGTCACAGTCTCTCTGGGCCTCAGTGACCTCATCCACAAAACAGAAATGAAAATCCCTGACAAGGTGACATCCAAAGACTGCTTCCGCTGAATGTGGTGGTGCATATCTATAATCCTAGTGCTCTGGGAGGCTGAGGCAAGAAGAGCACCAAGTTTGAGCCCAGCCTGGGCAACTTAGAGAGACTTTGTCTCAAAAAAAAAAAAATTATAAGAGTGAAGATTTCACTGTTAACTCCTTTTTTAGTCTGCACGCAATGACTACACCTACTGCTGAGCGTGAATGTGCCTTTGAGCGCTCACATTCTTCTTGTTGACTCTATGTTCAAACTGTTCACTTAACTTGAGGGCTTCTATCCATATCAACAATGCCTTTGCTCTGTGCCGCTGTCAGAGAACATCTAAGACAGGGTTTGTGATAAATGGAAGCTACTTCTCGGTCCTGGGGGCTAGGAAGCACAAGATCAGATGCCCGTAGCAACTGGGGTGGGGTTTCTGGCAATAAGGCGGGGAAAGAAAGAGACAGCAGAGAGTCAGAGTTCCCCTTTAGAGCAAACCCACTCTCGAGGTATAGGCACCCATCCACTCCTGCGGGTGAAGCCCATAATACAATGACAATGAGATTCTAACATGAGCCTTCCGGGGAGAGGAGGGGTATTCAAACCATAGTACAGAAGGAAAGGAAAGTACACATGGGACCACGCAATTCCCTGTACACAGAATACATCCAGCAGGGGTTGAGAGTGCAGGAGGAGCAATGCAACACCCTCACCTCCTCTTTACCCAGCAGTAAGCCAGACCTTCCGGTAAATCACTCAACAAGTTCATTCAAGAGCTCTGCCCTCAACATCTACCAGGATCTGACACAGTTAGGGACCCCAGAGTCAAATCAATGAACAACCAATTCCCTGCTCTCGTGAAACTTACATACTAGTGCAAGGAGACCCATAAGAAATAAGTAAATAATAGGTGGACAATACAGCCAGGGACGATATGCTTTGAAAAATAACGCAGAAAAAGGAAAGTCAAGAAAGATCTTTCTCAGTAGTGGTCAGACTATGAATGAATGACATTTAATCCTTAAAATAACCTCAGCATTAAAGCTGCAATTTTACAGGCTCTGTGCCTTCAGGCCAGTTATCACCCTCTCTGGGCTTTCACTGTCTTAATTATAAAGGCTCACAGCTGTTATAATAACACATAGAGAGTACAGTGCATAGCCCAAGTAGTCACAAGAGGCCACCTCTGTGAGGACAGGGACTATTTTAGCCTCAGTTGCCTGCACGGAGCCTTCACGGAAGTGGTTCTCAATAGATGAAGATGAACAAACTGTCAATCATTTGAACTCAGTAGTGAAAAGCACATAGCTCTTTAATAGGAGGAGGGTCTCCGCCCTTCCCTAGCCTGGCGTCTGTCCACGCGGAACACTTTTCAGCCTGGCCCACAAAATTCCCTTGCTTTGCTACCACTGTTTGCTACCAAGAGCGACAATGGGGCTCACCAAGCAAAGCAGGAAGGACAGCATTTCCAGCCACTGTTGCTGGAACACAGCATTTCGGTGAGGCGGGGGGGTTGGGGATTGCAGAGTGACTGGCCCAGTAGCTGAAGATGCAGATTTAGTTATAAAGCGTCAATAATCACAGCTAAAAATTTGAGCTTTCCTTTATCTAGAAAACACTCAGTTTCCTTTTACAGATAAGTGTTCGTGGATAGAATTTTTTTCAGGAAAAAATAAACCTCATGTGATTTTCTAAAAACAACCCATGGCAGCACTGAAGCCTCTGTTCTTAGCACTTTGCATTCCTGCTTCCTATTGTGTGTGCGGCTCCCCATTAAAGACAAATTTCTTCTCGTAGCAGGGCCGCTCTGCAAGTGGAGCTCCAATCTTGACACATTTAAGTGAAATCAAGTGAGAAACGGGGTAGGAGAGGCATACGCAAAATGTTGGCCGGGAGGGAAGCTGCCTTCCAAGTTAAACAAGGTCCTGGCCTCAATTCAGATAGAGTTTTACTTTTATAATCAATGTTTGAATAAGCAAGTTTTTATGGGAAGCAGATTATCTTTTCCATTACAACCTCATTTGCAGGGATTGATTCTTATTAGTTCTGTACATTTATATTTAGATTAAACTATCTATGAAGTGGATCTCCTGTACCCTTTACAGAGGTCAGTTCTTAACTCCTTCCATTGGTTACAACTGCCTTGCCCTAAACTACTTCTCTATTGTTGAGCACTTACCGTGTACCACGTACTGCACTCAACAATAGGCTACAAAGGTCAGCCAGACCCGCAGTCTAACGGAGGAGGCAGTGACTGGAAGTGGCCCTCTCACTGTCGCAGGAAGTGCTGGGATGGCAGGCACCGGGGGCACAGATGCATCAAGCCTCACATCTGAGCCAGCTAGCAGCTGCAGCTCAGGAAGCAGGCACACCTGTCTTGCACACCTGTCTTGCACACCTGTTACACACTACCCAGGGAATCAATGGTTCTCAACAGGGATATTTTGTCCCCAGGGACCTTTGGCAAAGTGCAGACATTTTTGGCTGCTATAACCAGGGGAGAGCTACTGACATCTAGTGGGTGGAAGACGAGGGTGCTGCTGAATTAGGGCTCCACACAGGCAGCCGCCTTCGTGGCAAACCCAGCCCCGCATCTCAACAGTGCTGAGACCGAGACCCTGCGCTACGTGTCCCTTGCGCAGGTCTGAGTCCTCCTCTGGTATCCAAGGTGATTCCTGTCTGTTATCTCAGAATCCAGCAGCGGTGCAGGTCAGAGTCAGCGCTGATAAGCACGCATGTGACAGAGAACAGGACGAGCCCTTGGGCAGAACACACAAAGAAAGACATCACAAACACTGGCGACACCAAAACGCTCATGCAGCCGACACACCGAAGACACAAGGCAGAATTTGGCAGCTGGGAGAAAAGGAGCATAGGCCTGAGGAAGTCCCTTCCCAGGGCCCTCAGAAGGCAGGACCCAGGCACAGTGGAGACCACAGAGCCTGCTCCGCCCTGGGACCAGGCTCGCAGCGGGGCCAGGCAGGAAAGCTCAGGGAGGCCCTTTCTGCAGGACAAGCACACAGTGACACTGGAAGCCAAGGGTGCAACAGGAAGAAGCAAAACTCCTCGCAGCATCCCCATCTCCACCGGCGACCATGCATAGAAGGGGAGCAGAGCAGAGATGAAATCCAGCCAGTACTGTGTTCTGCCCAGACTGGAGCCGGACAGCAGTGTCCCACAAAGGACAAGAACAGCAGGGGCTCAGCGACCCCCTCACACGCTCTTGGCCGTGCGACTCAGTGCCAGTGAAGAGAAGCATCCTGGGAGCACAGCGTCCAGTGAAATCAATCAGACACAGGCGCTCGGACACCGCATGCTTCTCTTCCATGAGAAACCCAAAGCACAAGGAAACAAACAGCAAATTAAAGATAGATGGTAGGAAACAAGGAGACAGATCTTTTGCAAATGGGAAGGGGACCAAGGAGGAAAGAAGAAAGGAGGGAGGAGAGAGGAAGGGGAAGGTAAGGTAATTAGGATGCGGTATGCACGTGGACTAACTCCGTATGGCCAACACAATCGCTATACCCTGTAAACATGTGCTAATAAAAAATAAAAATTTAACAAAAATTAATTACATGTCAGAGAGAGAGAGGCAAGAGAACCCAGTACTGACTGAGGCTTAAGGCTCTTGGATAACGGGGGCCTCAAAGGCAGCTTCAGAGGTCTTCCACACCCCGCCAGCTCCTAGTTCCCTTGTCAGTAACAGTTCACTAATGTCCCCAGTGACATTAACAGTGACAGTCCCTCAGCATGATCGGTGACGTCTCGTGCTCCAGGCACATGGCATGCTGGGTTTCCTGCTGTCCTGCCCTCCTCTCGAGGAAGCAGTTCTTTGTAACCTCTGTTTCACAGGTGAGGAAACCGAGGCTCAGAGGATGAGTGGTTTACCACCTGCTCATGGCCAGCACGTGACGGCAGCAGAGTCACAGCCAAATCACGGCTCTCCCACAAGGCCACGCTGTCATCTGCTTGACCACCCTTGACCTGCGGTGTGTTGATCTTCACAGTAACCCAGTGACATACGTGGAATTTTCCCCATTAGGAAGTGAAGTTCTTAATACACTAAATGCCCTTTGAAAGTTGCACACCAGTAGGAGACAAGACTGGGTGTCAAACCGGAGTGCTTTTGTGCCAGATACCAAGCACCGCACCTTTCACTGGGGCCAAACATGTCACAACTATTCACTAAATGCCAGCCCGGCAGTTGCCACAGGGCCGGGCGCTTCCCCATCTGCCCTTGGGAACCAGCCATGCAGTGTGGCTGGTGTCACCTGTGAGACGGTGTCCTCATCACCATTTGAGAGGTAATGGTCCCATTTTGTCTTCCACAGGTGGACAAACCCTTTTCCAAGGACTCGAAAAGCCAACATGTTACAGGTAAAGTCACATCACAACAGTCTGACCTGTAAGGATGAGAAGGTCTACCTTAGTCCCAAGAGCTTGTGTTTTGCTTTGTGATCACAGGCTGTCTTACATAAGCTGGTCCACTGAACTTCCCTCCAGGAAAGAAATAATTTTTGGGTGAGGTCTGCCTTATCCCTTTGCATTGCCTTCCCTTATTGACAAAGAAATTGATTGTGAAAATTCATATTCTGTGCTGTGCTGTGCATACGAAAAGGAAATTGTTTGAGAACACATGGATTGCATTAAATATATAACCATGTCATTTCTATAGGCTTACACCCAGAAAAGTAGTAAGACAGGAATCTAATTTTAAAATGTTGATTAATTAATAAGAAAATAGGTCTTAAAGCTTTAGGCCAAATGATTTAATTTGAGCGTGGAAATACAGGGACAAGCTTAAAAGGAAATAATCAATTGCACAAGCACGAGAAGCCCAAGTGAAGGACAAAGAAATTTAATTGGATTGGATCTGTACTAGCGTCTCTCCTCCCCCCTCCCCCCTGCCTCCTATGATTCCGATTAGAAAAGATGACAATCGGCTGACTTACACCTCCCAATAATTGGAACATATTGAGCTCACCGTGTGTGTCCGACGCTTGTTCCATAATGTCTTGCTGAAGCCACCTTCTCTTTAATGAGCAAGTGTAACCCCTACGGTCCCTCCCTGGAGCACATGGCATTCAAATCGGGGTAACGTGAGGAAGTAGCTATCAACACGTGTGGTGTGGGGAGGTGAGGAACAGGGGTGTCCGGTCAGAGCCATGATGGCTGCAAAGGCCTAAAAGGAGGGCAGGATGGTTGCCAAAAGCTACCAGGAGACACGACTTGAGAGGAGCTGTGTTCTTGGTGGAGGCCACCAATCTTGCTCAGGGGAACCGCCCTGGGGAGCCGAGGGAGCAAGCTCATGACCGTTGTCTCATTTCCCCTAACTTCCTACAGCAGCCTCCCCAGGGCAGAGCCACAAGGAGAGGCTGGGCGGAGGGGAAGGGGAGCAGAGAGGCGTCCTAGAGGGAAGAAGAGGGACGCTGGAAGCAGGTGACACAATACACAGAGTGAAGACAGCAGCTGAGTCCCAGGCTCTGCCCCTCCTCACTGGGTGACATTCATAAAGGCGCCTGACCTCCCTGAGCCTCCTGTCCAGAGCATGTGCAGCAGGCAAGGGCTGATGACTCCTCACCTGAGCTGCACCGGCCAAGGTGCACTGCTCCCACAGTGTGGGCAGGACTCTCCTGCCTTGCTCTATCACCCGTCTGCAGCCTCTGCAGCTCACAAGCTCCGGGCTGTCCCTCCGCCTCTTCAGTCCTGACTGAGGCACACAGAACTTGGTTCGCAGCCAGGCTCCTCTCTCTCGTGCACTTTCAGGCTGGGAGGCACTGGGGGAATTATGGAGAAAAAACATTTCCACTCCTCTCCACCCAGAAAGGGACCAGGAAGGGTCAGTTCATGTGCAAATGTTCTAACAGCTTTCTGGGCTTTCCATGGGAGCTGAGTCCTGGGAGAAGCAGAGAAGAATGGGTCTGACTCTGCTGTGTTTTCTCAGGACTCTCTCTGCACATCTGTCCTCATTTCTTCAGCTGCAGAAGCTTCTTCCTCAGCCACTGATCCCCACATCAGTATTTCTGTTTCTCTCTTCAGTGATACGTTTACGTCCACTTTGCTTCTGTTCACCAAGATGTCCTGTCACCAGGAAGCCTGGTCCTGTCACAGTGCAGAACCTGCCGCTCGCTGCCTTAGCTCTTGGTTCTTTTGTGCTCTTCATAAAAGAGTTCACTCAAGATGCACAGGCGATCGTGCAGAAGGATAATCTGTAGACTTCATCATAAAACAGATGAAGAGAAAGTTATGCCTCAGAGGCAGGCAGCACTGCGACCCACACCTGCCCCCGTGGGAGTTCAGACACCTTTCCTTGCAAACAAAAGATACTTTTGGGGTTCAGGGGATTGAAGTCATTATGATGAACACCACCATTTTACTTAAATTTACTTAAATAAGGAATTGCAAAATGACTTTCTGTCCTTTTTAGTTGGTCAGTGTTTCCTTGGGGCTTTAATCATGTCGAAAACTTGCAAAAGATGAGTTCTTAATTTAAACCAGGTCCAGCCCAAGGCAGGAGGGTCGTTAAGAAATAATCCCCTTCCTGCTGTGCTTGGGGTGTGGGCTGTGGTAGCCGGGAATGCGGTTTGGCTTCTTGTGGAGGTGGAGGACCAGGTGGCCAGGGACCAGCAGAAATGGCACAATGTGTAACCTTAGGACAGCACTGTGCCCTGTGGGATAATTTTATGTCTGAAGCCTAGGAAATGATTATAAATGTATATTATACATTGACCTCTTTGGTTTTTACTTAACTGCCAACACCTGCTACCCCCCCCACGTTATCCCACAAGATCGCTAATGACTAACACCTGCCTAACAATTGCAGTAGTTGATAAAACCTTGAACAGTAAAATTGAATGAAATGAAATCCAAAGGAGAGGACAGATAGATCATCTGATATGAAGATTAGGACCAAATTGAAGATTCTCAAACACACGTGACTACATTCTATTAAAATCAAAATTGCTAGTTTGCCTCTGAGATTCCTGGCAGTCTGAGCAAAAAGGGAATCCAACTCCTTACATAATACTAATTTCTCACAATAAAAAAGGAAACCAATTTCCCAGGTAAATCAAGGCTGTACCTCTCAGGATTACATCCTCTCCATCTATTTAATGAGGGATATTGGCTGTCATGGCAACAAAAATAAAACCATTTTTAAAAACGCCAGGCCCCAGTATAATAAGAGGCCCTAATGGCTTAGAGGACTTCAGCAAGGGCAAGGTTCATGGACAGCGAGGCTTGTTCGGTTTGGGAGCAGGAGGGGTAGCAGGCTTCTTCAGAGATAGTCCTTACATCTTTCTTCATAATTGATGGTTCGCTATTACTACCTAGAGCTCTAATATCCTACACAAGAGGGAAGCCAGGAGGGCAGAAATGAATATGAATCCCACCATTTTTAGGATCAGGCACCTTTTTGGAAAACATGTGGATGATTAATGTGTTTGTTACAAAATTCTATATTTTTGATGCAAACACATTCTCAGATAATTTATTCATTCTCACAAAATGTCAGAGAATAAAAACACATCAGTTGGTTCTGTAAGGGAAGAATTTTATAGCAATACTTTTCATCAAGTGGAGCAGTTATAGATTTATGGTAATGTACAGTCCATGTCATTTTTCTTGCAATCATATTCTGACATTGCCTGGAAACTATCAGATTTCAGGAACTTATCTTCCCTGAAGCTTGATGTGTTTTTTTTTTTTTTCATTCCTAAAAATGGTTAAAAGTTTATTTGGAGGCAAAGTATTTACAGTGCAAGTTGTTCGTGATGAACCACTAGCGTGAACCACAAATCCAGAAGAAATCATCACACTTTCAGAGGATGACTGTAATTTTCAAATACGACATAGCTTAGCTTGCTAGAAAAACCAAAGCCAAGAATAAAAGAGGATAAGATGCATTTCTCTCTGCCCTAAATGTGAACTAAGCACAAACTCTAAACCAATTTCCCTTTGAAGTGACAAGCTTATTATATGTGGGAATGAGTTCATCAAGAAGTACAATAAGCTACCCAAGAAAAGAAAAAGAGAATTTATGCCTAGGCAGCTGAACACATAGACCCAGAAACATGAGCTTGGTTGAAAGGAAGCAAAATAGAATTCCACACAATGCCATCAAAAGATCTCCATACTAACTTGCCTTTGCAGGAACTTGAGTGCTAAAAAATTAGAGTCAGAGATGAGTTTGGAATTAATCTGGTTCGACTCCCTTGTTTTACACCAGAAGGGCCCACTCACTCAAGACAATCCAGCAGGTGGCCAGGACCAAGCCCATGAACACTCGCTGTGTCCAGGTTCCCAGGGCTGCAAATTCCTCCGACATCCCTCCCCATACAGTTCAGTGGGTAAAATAGGAATTGATTGGTGATGCTATCCCCTAGTGGCAAAATATGGCGATACAAAATACTGTACCACAGCAATGGATTTGGCTATACTTCTCACAAACAGCAAGCCTTGGGCCAGAGTTGATCAGAAATAACTTTAACATCTCTCCCTTACCATTTGAAATCTAAGTTTGTTTGAAGCACAACCCACAGCTCAAAAGCAACACAGGCATTGATATAATATCTGGCTCAAAGTTAATGTTACAAACCACATTAAATCACTCATTATTGGGACTACAGAGCAATATCTGCCCCACTGCTACCCAGGGAAAGTTAGAAGACTCAAAGAAAAGGCAGAGCATCTAATAACTGCTTGACATAGTGAATATTTTCCAGTAGAGAAACATAAAAATGTCACAACATAGGAGAATTAAAAACAAGATATTCAATAAAAGAAGCACAAGAGAATCTGTATCTCCCAAGTAATAATTCCCTAATAAAGACTCAATTTCCAAATAGAATTCCAAGGTACAAAGGCTATTTTTACTTGGTCAAAATATTCTCCTCCCCATAAAACCATTTCCAGATCACTGAGTGCATATGCACAGTGGAAAGTGACTTCTTGTCTTTGTAAATTTGGGGCATGTTTCCACCATCCCATCTGCTCTGGACCCGGGGTTTCCTCAGAGGCAGGGCTAAAAGCAGGGGAGTGCCAGGCAAGCCTGTCGAGCTGCTCACCTAGATGTGGCCGCTGCCTCTGCACATCCTACCTGCCCAGCCACAGGAGGAGCGGCTGTTTTGTTCAGGACAGCAGAACTCCTTCATCCAGCCCCATTTTGCAACTAAGCCCTGGGACTTGAGTCCTGGCCACCATCCCAGAGCAACCTCTTCCTTCCTTTAACGGCCCCAGCTGTGCAAGGGACAGCTCTGCCTCCTCGCAGCCTCTCCCCTTTGCTTCTTGTTCTAGGAAGCTGCAAGTTGTGTGAGATGTTGAGAGTTACATTATGTAAAGGAGGGACTCTGGATGTATGAGATTAAAGCGGGCTGTGA